CCCGCTCGGTAAACGAAATGACCACCAACACAAGTTAATTATAATGATAAGAGTCATGAAGTGAAATAACTAAATTTTATATAATTTTTCAAGAACTGGTAGAACAAGTCATAAGCCACTAAGATTTAATTTACAAAGTTGGTATAAATACAACATCTGTTTGGAATGTATATAAACATATTACAAATCTAAAGCTACACAGGACAAGTAATAGCTATATCTAGAAGGCAAATACATCTTCAATGCTAGCTCCCGCCATATACAGCAGTATCAGCTCCAAGATCTATATGCAAGGTGCAGAAGAGTAGTATGAGTATTACTGACCCCATGTACTCAATAAGTAAAAAATCTAACCTCAGGTTGAAAGCAACGGCTAGCTCGGAAAAAGGTTAGTGTCCAACACCAATAGCCAACTTGTAATAGTATAATAAGAATAGTAAAGGTAAATAACTCAAGAGATATTGTGCTCAACTCGTTCACAGTTACAGAAAAGTAGACATGTTTTTCAAGTATAACAGTCAAAGTCCAAATCGTACCGCTGAAAACTAACTAAATATGAGTTTATCAAAAGAACTGTTTTCCTCCGATTTCCCAACATCAGATAAGAATTTTCATTTACCAATTAGCATGAGGAAAATACATCTCTACGCGTACATGTCAAATATATATATGTCAAATCATCAAATGTCATATTACCATCTAGCATGAGGAAGATACATCTCTATGCCTACATGTCAAATCATCAAATGTCATATTACTGTCTTGCATGAAGAAGATAGATCTCTATGCCTACATGTCAAATATACATGTCAAGTTAATGATATCATAATGATATCATCAAGTACGCTTCACTCTCAGTACACGCAAGGTGCTTAGATCAAATGCCCTACTTAATCACACACACAAAATCATTCAGAACTATACGGGTGCCTGGCATCAATGCCTCTCACCAAAGCACGTGTATATAATCATTGTTCCTGCGCCTACTGCTGGCATGTCAGACTCTGGAGGGGCGCGCTAATCATAAACCTATATGGCATGTTGCGATGTGCAACCAGATCCAAACAACAATCCATTGCAATGTGCAACCCGATCTAATATAAATTTGGTGGCGTGCAACTCGATCTAATATAACTCGTAACACGACTCTATGGTCCATATTAGTCATTAATTCGCTCAAGTCTCAATGACTCGTATCTCACAGAAACATAATCCAATTATATAACACGGAATATCACAATATGCTTCAAATACAGCTCAAACTCGTGTCACGTACACGGACACCAATAACATGTGAGATAACATATCAAAAGTGCAAAGAGATAGAAATATAACATGTAGATATAACTATCATGACTATATAGTATGACTATGTTTAACGCAAATAGCTCAACATGGCAAAATAACCCTAACATGTCTCAAACATTTAAGCAGGTGGCCTAGACATGATTTCCAGCATGAATAATATCTCGCGTAGTCATATAAATGAACAAAACATGATATTAAAGAAGCCCGATAGCAAAATAAGGCACATAATAGCCTAAGAATTACCCGGATCATGAATACATTGGTGCACACATTCGAATATGAGTCCAACCATACCAATTTCACTCAAATTCGACTCTGAATCGATGTTCAAAACTCAACTATTCACTTTAGGAAAGTTTAGACAACCCCCCCCCCCCCCCCCAGTTTTCTCTTTTAAAAACATCAACCAAAATGCCACAATCAAAGCTATAATAATGTAAAATAATCAAATCTGAGTAAATAAATACTTACGGTGAAAATTCTCTCTAAAAAAATGCCCAAGACCGAGCTCCAAATCTATAAACCCTCGAAATAAATAACATCTGCAAGTGAATCTACTTTTGCTGTCACTAGCTAAGTCGTATCTGCGATAGCCGCTTTTGCGGTAGAAATCTCGCATCTGCGATACCAGACCCATAACCGACCTACTGCATCTGCAGTGCCAAAAACGCACCTTCACACCCGCATTTGCGACCCTATTTACTACTAAAAAAATCAGGGTTTAGCGACGGACAAATTCTGTAGCTAAATAGAAAAATTCGTCGCTAATCTCATTTAGCGACAGATTAGCGACAGATTATCAAAAGATTCTGCTAGCTACGAGCGTTTTAGCGATAAATTAGCAATGACGTTCGTAGCTAATTCCAGTTTTTTTTTGTAGTGATTCCGTAGATGCGCTCCCGCTCTCTCTCCTATGCTCATTCAACCGCATATGCGGTTCCTTCCTTCTCCAGCCAGCTTCGCTTCTGCGACAACAAATCCGCATCTACGGGCTCGCATCTAAGACCAGCCATCTGCAGATGCGAATACACCAGAACAATAACTTTCAGCAAGGTCAAGATAGCCTAAAATGATCCAAAACACACCTGAGTCCCTCAGGACACCCATCTGAACATACCAATAAGTCCCAAAACATAATACGGATCTGCTCGAGGCCTCAAATCACGCGTAATCAAATCAAAACCACGAATCATCGATCAAGATCAATCTCTTAAGTTCATAAACATCAAAACTCGAACCAAGCATCCAATCCAATTCGGAATTGACCCAATTTTTGCATACAAGTTCCAAATTCATAACGAACCTATTCCAACTCCCGTAACAATAATCTGAATCTGATACCATCGAAGTCAACTCCCGGTCAAACTTATGAACATTTCAACCTTCAAATTGCCAATTTTCGCAAAATAGTGCCATAATCATTTAGAAACGTCCAAATTCAAATCTGGGCATATACCCAAGTCCAAAATCATCATCTGGATCCAACAGAACTATCAGAACTCTGATCCGAGGTCAAATACACAAAAGTCAAACTTGATCAAATCTTCTAACTTAAAGCTTCATATCTAAGAATTATTCTCTCAAATCAACTCCGAACCACTCAAAAATCAAAACCGACCATACACGCAAATTATAATATACCATATCAAGCTACTCATGACCTCAAACCATCGAACTGAATACAAATATTTAAAAAAATCGATTGGGTCATTACAAAAGTATAATCTGGCTTCTCACAATCCTGAGAAGAATAAAATCCTCATATACACTTTGTATGTTAAATTAGATTGAAATTATATACATTAATATTGTACCTTTTTGCCTGTTTTAGCATATAATTATTATTTCTATCAAATTACTGAATAATACTTATTAAGAAATTATTTATATTTATTTTATATAAATATTTTACATTATCATGTATAGAACGTAAACTTTTCGATCGCTCAACCCCTTTGATCGCCCTCATCTCCAATTACCGTTAGTTCCACTTTCATGTATTAATTGTGTTCTTGACTCATAAAGTCGGCAAATTTATAGTCAACGACTATGATTTCCAAGGGCGTCAAAGGGAAGTCGAGGAGGATTGCTTCCTAGGGCCTTTCAAAGAGAAAATGAGCTGGGTGTTAATTTTGCTTCTTCCCAACGTTGAAGGTCTTCCACAAAATTTGTTTGACACTTTGTTTTCGTTTTTAACTTCTTTATTTCTCCAACTTCAAGAGAACACGTTTAAAATTTAATATAAGCCTGAAGCATACTACTCTATAAGCCTATAGTTTGATACTCCCTCTAGTAACTCGGTAACGGACCCATTTGCTTTTTCATTTTGGTTCAAAATAAGTGTAAAGAATTCAATTTGTTTTTACAAAATAACTCTTATGTATATATTCCTAAAAAGTTTTCTTACTTCTCACATTAAATGTTTAATTAGAGGTAATTTAGTCATAGTAGATATTTTTGTATAAAATTTAGTATTTTCTTAATAAGTGTGCTAAAAGCAAATTGGTCACTTATTGTGAACCAGAGAGAGTATCTCTTTATTGGAAGGATATAAAAAAAAAAAGGATAAATCCTATATATTTTAAATTTTTTAATACTATCATTATATATTATTTAGTATTAACAGATTATTTAGTATATCTTAAGTTATTAAATTAGAATAACTATAAACATTAGTTATTCTTGTAGATCATCATAACTGGGAAAAACCAAAGTTATATTACTATTCATCGCACAATAGTTAAATACAATAGAAAAATAAAAAAACATGGTGAAGAATTCAGTCGCCCTGCAACGTGCACCATCTCTGCTACATTTTAAAACAAAGCTGTTGAAGAAGTCTGAACACAAGATGTCTCTCGTGACCAGCTTTCATACTAAAATTAACTTCCTCGCGAAGTAAGCTGGTCACTCAAGTAATTAATTAACAATAGAGGTAGATTTTAACGTTGGTTAATTTTTTTTTGCCCTCTTTATATTGTTATGCGTCTTTAACAGAATATCATCAGGTTTTACAAAGTCAAAACAAAATTTAAATTCAACAAAATTTGAATTTTCACAAGAATACGTGTTTGTAAAAATATTGAGAAGAGAGAAGGTGAACACCTACGGATGTATGGAGGAAAAAAAATGTATTTATAACACCTTTATTAACACACACTTTATAATAGTCATCTGATTTAAAATATATGTATACGTGCTAAAAAATAATAATAATAAATTTAACCATATAAAGATGCCTTTATTTTATGTAGCAGACATCAAACTTCCATTTTATTCTTTCCAAAAATTTTGGTTCTATGCCTTCCTATTCACAATCCTTAATTCGGTAATCTTAGGATTTAGTGTCACGTCCCTTGATAAAACTTGTGGTGCACAAAAAGTTTTCTTCAGTATACGCTAAGACAACAATGCGCATGCTGCATCCAGGGTTTCCCTACCCCCTCCCCGCAATCCCCAGTCCAAACTGAGGTGTCTGCATGTATACACTTCCCACAGTCCACTAATGTATGCATCTATATAAGAGCACCGCCCTCGTCCACCATTTACAGATTATGACTCTTTGATCATCACCAGCCTTCTTCTGTCTCTCTCTTTCGACTCATTGGGCATACACTCAACGAGGTACATACATAGCAACAACCCCCCTCTCTCCTTCCCATTTTGGTAATAAAAGTAGGTTACTTCACACTATGAATACTAGTCTCAATGCCCAACACTTAATTCCTAGCCAGACCGTCCCCATTCCTTCAGAAGAAAAAACCACCACCATTAGCTCCGCCACCGTTAGTGACACCACCTCTACTAGTACTAGCAGTAACTGCAATAAAAAAAGCAAAGGCAAAGGTGGACCCGACAACAACAAATTCAGGTACAGAGGCGTAAGACAACGCAGCTGGGGCAAGTGGGTGGCCGAGATCCGAGAGCCACGTAAGCGTACCCGCCGTTGGCTCGGCACCTTCGCCACTGCTGAAGACGCTGCTCGAGCCTATGACCGAGCCGCTATTATACTCTACGGCTCAAGGGCTCAACTCAACCTTCAACCTTCCACTGGTAACAACTCATCATCTTCTTCACAGACCAAAAAATTGAGCTCCTCGTCTTCCACACAAACTCTTCGTCCGTTACTTCCTAGGCCTTCTGGCTTCGGCTTTACGTCTTTCTCTTCTCCTAATACAGCACCTCCTGTTTCCAACAGTGTGGGTGCAGGTTGTGGTTATGTACCTTACGGGTTTTTTCCTGCTGTACAATATTCACAGCAGTTGGTTCAGCCGCACCACCACCAACAACAACAGTATGCAATTTGTGATGGATATGGTCCCGAGGCTGATAATCTCGCACATGAAGCTGGAACACCATGCTCTTATTCAAGCCCTAACCCTAACCCTAGTCATAATCAAGAGAAGCCGCCAAAACAAGAAGATCAATCATCTCATCATGAATATCAAAGTCAGCAGCAGAATTGTTTGTATGACGAAACAGTAAACCCTTTTGTGGGGTCGTCTATGTCTTTTTGTTCCACTCAAACGATGGCTGCACCGGTTGTTTCAGATCCGGTGGCGGTGATGGGAGGGCCGGGATCTCCGGTTTTTTGGCCTGACGATAGCAATTACCCCGCGGTTAATTTTTGGGATTACAGCTACGATTCCTTCATGTTTGATTTTTAGAAAATGGAAGACATATGGTTTAGCTATATGATTAATTTCTTTGAATTGCATGCAAGATTATATATGAATATCGTGATGGTCGCTTTGTCAGTACATAATGGGTTTTGGAGAAATGGAGAAAGATTAGAATTACCAATTACCAGAGGGTGCATGTTCAGTATCCAAGGAAAAAGATGTTTGTACTGATATTACTGTTAATTGGGGATGTGAATAAAACACCAAGATCGGAGGGTGACCAATTATATTATAAGCTCTGCTTTCATCAGGTTAGATTATCTCAATTAATTTCCTCTGGAAGTCAAGGGAACACGGTTCTTATCGTATTTTCGTTTTTATTTGTCATTCCGTCTGGTTTCTATACGTTCAGAGTTATTGCTAGTATTGAGCTTCTTTTTCTATGGTAATTAGGATTGTTACCGGATGAGCTTTTGATATCCTAATGAAACATTTGTTCTATGGGATATTAATTTGATTCCAACTCAATATTAAATCTGTCTCAGGATTTTGATGTACTTAGTTTCAACATTTATTCTAGAGATATTAATTTGCTCTCGACTTAGCTTATTAATTTCTTCTTCTTTTTTTTTGTGCTGGAGTTCCTTGTGGATTACGAGGAGCTCCCTCTCTCATTTTGTTATCAATTATCCTCACAAGAGTTAGGCTGCAAGACAAAATTAATCGATTTCTACCCGCAAGGCCTGATCCAAGTACATTTATTTTAAATCCTAAACTAAACTCAAGAGCTATATATCATGCGTTAAAAGTATCGAAATGGAAAAGTGAGGTGGCAATAGTTTCACCGAGTCTACAAAACCATAAAAGAGCTCAGATTCGATATAGCATTTCGAAATGTTCTTTCACACATCTTTATCGTCATTGCAGCCTAAGTAACTGAAAACATAATAGAATTACAAGAGATTTCAGTGTCTTTATCCTCAGCTCTTTGAGGCGAGTTTTTCCTTTGCCTTCTGAATCTTCAACATCTTTTTGTTGATTGGATTTGGTGGCATAATATGCCGCTTTCGATAGGTAAGTTTCTGAACCATCCTTTCAAGTAGCTAGAGTTTTTCTGCTTCTCTACAATGGTGAGAAAAGAATGGATCAAAAAAGGATCCAAGTACATTCGTATAGACGCCTTTGTACTGTGTGATGGAAATCCAGATTTGTCGCAAACGTTTTGCAAATTAAAAAAATAAAATTGTGTATTTTTTTTTTCTTTTGGTTGATTTCGTTGTAATTTCAAAATCTACTAGAAATGCGACAAATCTCCTACGCTATCCCATCATATTATATACGTTAAAAAAATAAAAAGAATAGAATGATAATCCTCCTGAATAATGTAAAACACGGTAAAGATAATGTGTTATATTTTGGTGTGTATGATCATCCGTTGTTATAGGAAAATCACTGTAGAAGCAATTGTAAGAGCCCGTTTGGACATAAGAAATTCTTTCTTTTTTCCCAAAAATAAAAATTTCTTTTTTCCCAAAATTTTTTTATTTTTATTTTTCGAAATCAGTATTTGTTCATAAAATTTTCACTTTTCAAGATGCATTTTGGAAATCAAAAATTTGAAAAATTTTAAAAAGCTTTTTTTCAAAAATTTTACTCAAATTACTCACAAAATTTCATAAACAACCCAAAATTATATTCATATTCAAACATAACTCTAAATTTCAAATACCATTTTCACCTTTTTTTTTTTTGGGAACTTTACAATTTTTATGTCCAAACGCCCACTAAGTATGAGGAGCAGAAGAACAATGTCTTCGTGCGACTGACCTGAGGTTGTTAAAACATTTTGGCAGCAGAGATTTTCTAGCACAAAAATCATAGCATTAATAATCTGTTGGCACAAAACTTTAAAGATGAAAACCATCATCTTATCGGATCTGCCATTGTCACATCATCAAAATAGGAAAATAAGATGCGAAAGTCTACTTGAATTCATGAGAATTGACGAAAACTTTCAACCTTGTGGTTTATGGTCTTCCAAACGAAAATGTAAACAGCTCTTAACTTTTCTAACAATGGAATATTAGAAAAGAGGGGCAACCCTACTGTCTGATTTAGGTCTCATAATCCTATTCATAGTTGTATAGTTTACGTATTTTAACTTTAGCTCATTATTAAATTAAAAATTACATCGGGCTATTTACATATAAGAGTCCATAATGTGTTAGGTCCATATACTTTAAATTATAGCAGATCATTATTATTTGGGCTAACATCTTATTGTTAGGACCCGGTGGCACTAAACACTACTGCAAAACGGAATAAAATAAATGATCAACGAAACCAAAAATAAATGACACAATATTTAACGTGGTTCACCTAAAACGTTTAGGCTACGTCCACAAATCCGACACCAACTTCCACTAAAACATTTAGCAGGCATACAAAGAGAGACTTCCCCAATAATTTGGAGGTACAACAATTCCTGAGCTCTACCCAAAATAGTGGCGCACACAAAAGTGTTTCCCGAAAAATACCCGACTAGTATTTCTACTCACTATTTTGTCACTCCCCTGTTAGGAAACATTCCTAAAGGAACTATATCTCTCTCCCTCTCAAACTCTTTCTTCTTGAGTTTTGATATATTTTTTGGTGTGTTATACAATGAAATGGAAGGGGGTATTTATAGTTTTGAGATAGGGACCAAAAGTGCAAATCTCACCTACCAAGAAGGATCAATTTGCAATATTCCCATCTCACCTACCACTCATTGCATCATTGCTTATCTCACTAAGGAGAGTTGCATCATTGCTTACCTCTCCCATACATCACCATAATTGTTGGAAAAACTAACACTTATAAGCCCAAAGTATTTGCTGTCATAATCTGAGTTGAAGTACCTCCAAACAATTTCGTCCATTACTCATATCAATATTGGATTAAGGCGTTTTTTTGTTGTATTTATCACAACTAAACCTTCCTTGATTACAAATACGAACATAACCATATGATATAGATCAAGAATGAATATGTAGTATATAAATTAAATGCAGTAGGAACTAAGCATATTTTCTTTTTTTATGTTTTTTATTCAAAGCCACCTTCGGGCGGGGATTAGGCAAGACCCTACCATGTAATAACCAAAAGGGAAATACATGAGCAAGAGATAGAAAGTGCCTAACCTCTTCAAAAAATTCTAAGACAATGGACAGAACCATGATATGCATTCAGCAACCCAAGGGATACTCTTGGAGTCTTCACAAAAATAACAGTCATATTGTTATGTTCATGGGTGCTTAACTTTTCTTGATGTGTAGTTACTATTCACATAGTATAGGTACACAACAAAAAAAAAGTTAATAGAAAAGCTCATATTAATATTATGGACGGGTGTAACGAAAAATACAACCGGGGAGAAATTTTTTCTGATGAATTTTGCCACTCATGAAGAACGGTTCGTTTTTAGAAGGGGTCGAAGGAGTTTCCTTCTTTCTTTGCTATGCTGTAGAGAATTATCAGGTAAAATAGAAAAGGAAAAAAGAAGGAAGGTAAAACAAAATTCAAGGAGAAAGTAGTTTGAAAAGGAGCTACTGGATTTAAAAAACAAAAAAAAGACCTAACTAGATTAAAAGGAAAAAAGTAAAATGAGCCTGTAATGAGAGTGGTTCAAACTCCCGACCCGTCCCTTCTTTAAATCTGCCACTATCCTTCATTGACCAAAGCACCCATCAGCTTTTTAGATTGCTGGGTACTTTCTCCCCTTTTATATGAGATGTCTCAAATTTCTTATATAACTATACTTAAGTTTAATGGGTGTTGAAACACCCAAATTTAGTATGTAGATCCGCCCCTGGTATGGATTACTAAAGAACTTGGTTCTTTACTGTGTTTCTTAAGCGTAAAGTAAACAAGTAAAAAAATAAATGCATCGATTTTTACGTGAAAAAATCACCGGCTCAAGAGGTGCAAAAACCATGGTCTACCACGTAGTCAACTCCAAATCCACTAGAACAATGAGCCAAAATGTATCAATTACAAGACTGTAATTAAATACTCTCCAGTACTTCTATTACTCCTATTTGATTCATAAGTTACTGTAACTTGTAAAACAAAATACTCACTCTAACGTACTAATTGTTTATGACACTTGATTACAACTCAATTTCCTAAAACACATTCACTAGACTGACTCGGAAAGAATACAAGGCAAGTACTCAACTCAAGTAAACGACTTATGATTCTTTAATTGATGTGCAAAAGGATAGTCTACAAGTCCAAAGTTTATCCTATTTAAAACACAACTTGAGATCTTCTAGGAGTCCTATTCATAGTAAGTTTCCTCTTTGATAGGACTCCTATTGTTCCAAGGATTCCACAAGCTTTGAGACTTTTGTCTCTGACTGAATTATCCGTATCTTCTTGAGCAACGACCTTTATCACTTATAGCAGCCTTCTTCCACCAAACTCAGGCCTGGGTAACTTTAAGATAAAATTACCATCTTGTACAGACATACATGTATCAATCATGAGGAGCTGATTCTTTCTCCTGAAGAGCTGGTTCTTTAGAATAGTTAAGCAGCTATGTTGAGGACCTGGTTCTTTGAATATTTAGTCATACTTTGTTAATCATTAAAACTTCAATACTCAACAAATTGCCCTTTTTTACGATGACAAACTTTGTACACACAGACCCAGGTAATCACATCAAAGAACCAGATAATCACAACTTTTCAACCTTATCTTCCCCTTTTTGGCATCATCGAAAACACAAAAAAAATATGTTAGATATTAAGCACAGATAATGTAAGATTCAAGGCCAAACAGGCTACAACACAAGCTTAAGAAAAGGCAAATAGATTAGGCTGATGATCCAATATATTATAAAGCAGTAAAGCAGCGCAATAGGAGACATTAAGTAGTGCCAAAAGAAGCTCAGGGCCTTCTCTTCTTCATTAGAACAAAATAAACTAAGCATACTGCAAATTAATCAGACTAAGACAAAAGAAACAAAAGATAAGGCATCATTGGAATAGCAAAAGAACTAA